TAATCTCTTAAAATCGAAAAATCTCACAAGAGGTTCAAAGATCAAAATCTATAAATCCATCGTCAGACTTGTAATAACATACGGATGCGAATCATGGACCATGACCAAAGCAAACGAAGAAAAGCTCAGACGCTTTGAAGAAAAATACTTTTTTCGGACCTCACCACAAACCAGTATAATATCACAACCAATATCGAATTAAAAGACGACTACAACGACGCCGACATTGTCCAAGAAATTAAATCACAGCGACTAAGCTGGGCAGGCCACGTGCACACACTGCATAACGAGAGACTTGTAAAACTGGTATGGGAGGAGATTCCCACAGGCAAAAGACCACTCGGACCAGAATGCGATGGAGAGATAACACCCAAGCAGATCTTCGGAAAATGAACATTCTATTTGACCCTAGGTTGATGGAAGACCGAACAAATTGGAAAAAAGTTGTACAGTCAGCCAAGATCCACCCAGGGTTGTAGCGCTACGTGATGATGATGACATTTGGTACAAAATCTCATGAATATGTAATACATTTTAAATAATTTGTAACAAAACTTATTAATAAGGGTGGTTATTTTAGGTAATCCACTATTTACATTTGAAAAAATTATTTAATTTTTATATGGAATAAACGTTACTCTTTATAATAATGTTTATGTAAAATATTAACAATTTGTTTAATTATATGCATTGCACACATTTTCATTATAAATAAACATTTGAATAACAGAAAAAAATCTTATAGAAAAAATAAATAACAAATCAAAGTACGATAGTAAAAATTTTAATTTGAATTTCAGCAAAATATATTTGCATTTATTGGTAGTTGTTGTAGTCGTTATCGCTAAGCCGGAGATACACATGCCTGTTACTAGCACAATGGCATACCAGTACCTAGCAAGCACCAGCTACTGTCCCCAAACTAGCATGTGTGTACGTTAACTGGCACGCTAGCTAATCGCAAAGAATTTGATTTTACTTGCTAGTAGCATGCTGTGAGATGCAAGGCGCATGCGTAGGGAGTGTCACTGGCGTGTGAAGGCGGGAATACGTCACCCATACGACACTTTTAAAATTGCCATAGTTCAAGCTTCAATGCTAATAAAATTTTCAAAAACTTAGGTTTTGTAAGATATTTTGAGATTTTCGTGGGTATAGGGATGGTAAGTGGTTCTTATATTAGTAATTATATCAATTTTTTTTTTAAATCAATAGTCTGATAACAAAAAAATAGAGTTGATTATATTGATAATATTGTGTGTTTTAAGTGGAGATAACAGTAGAAAAAGTAAAAAAGCAAAAATACTAAATATGTATGAACTTACTTATTATGTTTTTCCTGGAATTTGCAGCATTCTTATCATATCTAGTGATAGGCAAAAAAAAAACAAATAGGTAATATAAATAATTTATTATTAGATTAAAATACAAAAAATGATTAGTCCCTCAAGCACAAATCTTCAGGCTATAGGTTTGTTAGTTCATGACCGTGAATTTTTAAATAATAGAAACTATTTTTAATTCCTGGGTTTATCGGTCTGATAAATAAAACACACACTTCACAAGTGTGTATGTACACAAATAACTAAATAATAAGTCTCTATAAATAATATTGTCTTTATAACTATACTTAAAAATAAAAACTAAACAATAACTAAACAAATACACGAACTAATGATACTATAGGAAAATTCCACAAAAAAAAATATACGAATACAAACGTGAAACCAGAGATGAGAGCTCAGACGTGCAGACAACTGTCCATCAACTGTCAAATTTGACGTTGTCGTATGAGTGACGTAAGCATTCTGACTTCCCCTCGCTTCGCCCACATAGTTACGAGACAACCTACTTAAATATCTACTAACCTTGACCGCTACGGTCATGCCAGTAGCTAGCAGAAAATTGTCAAATTTGTTGTGTTGGTAATAAAAATTAATCGTTGTATATTTAAACTTGTTAATTTAAAAATGTTTCGTCGGGGTGAAGAAAAAACCATCAAATTTATTGCCATATATAGAGAATTGGAGTGCCTTTTAAATTCTTAATCATCTTTTTATAACATAAAATAAAATAGCCCGTGACAATGCTTACACAGAAATTCAAGAGGAAATGGGCGGAGGTATTTACTTTTAAAGAGATAAAGGCCAACATAAAAAATAGCTCCAAGATTTTCTCGCCTACCACTCCCAATTTCTCACCCATATTTTTCTCCTTTTTGAGATCCGCTTCAAATTCATTATTAAATTTTTAACAATATCTGTGGTCATTAGTAATATTGGCTTTTTTAATTCATTCTGAATACCTTCCATAGATCCCTTTTTTGTTTGAAACTCAAAAACTTTAATTACAGAACAAGTACTTAGTTTCAGATGAAAACCACTCGATTGTATGTGTAAAATTCTACCTTACTTTTTCGCCTTGCCAGTATAGGCAAGCGAGCTACTGGCATGCCGATTACTAGCAGTTTTGTGCTTGCCAGATATTGGCCTATGTTAGCAACTGGCATGCCAGCTACTTTCCCAATTTACTAGCATAAAGCCGGGTACACACATGCCAGTAAATTCCAAAAGTAGCTGGGATGCCAGTTGCTAGCATAGATCAGTAAAGGGCAAGCACAAAACACATTTGCTAGTTATTTGCATGCCAGTAGCTCGCTTGCCTACACTGGCAAGGCGAAAAAGCAGGGTAGATTTTTACACATGTCAGTGTTAGTAAACAATCGATTAGTTTTCATAAGTATCTGTTTTGTAATTAATACGGTATTCGAAATGAATTAAACAAGCTAATATTGCTGATGACCACGGATATTGTTAGAAATTTAATATTGAATCCGAAACAGAACTCAGAAAAGGGAAAAATTTGGGATTTGGGTATGTAAGCGTTGTCATGGGCTATTTTATTTTTATATAGAGATAAATTACAATCCAAAGGCACTCAATTCTCTATATATAGCAATAAATTTGATGCTTTTCATCACCTCAACGAAATATTTTTTAAATTAAGAAGTTTAAAAATAAAACGATTAATTTTTATTCCCAACATAACCAATCTGAAAATTTTCTGCTACCCACGCATGCGCCTTGCATCTCCCAGCATGCTACTTGCAAGAAAAATCAAATTCTTTGCGATTAGCTAGCATGCTAGGAACTAGCATGCCAATTAACGTACACACTTGCCAGTTTGGGGACAGTAGCTGGTGCTTGCTAGCCACTGGTATGCCATTGTGCTAGTAACAGGCATGTGTATCTCCGGCTTATGTGTACCCGCCTTAAAAGTTTGTTTCGTTTCACTTTCGCTAACGTCTTCTAAATTTATGATAAATTCATGCGCTTCATACTAAAGCCGGTTTAGTATTCGCTCCGAGGGTTAACAAAGTGTCAAACCAAAATCGACTGACCTGCTCATGGTGGCGATAACTTGAAATTTTATCAGGACGCTTTTGTGCATGGTACAATGAACATATTCATTGTACCATGGATGTTGATCATTGGTTGATCATGTATACATAACCTCACTTTCGTATATTATGTTAATAAATCTCTATTAACGACAAAAAATATTTTTGTTGAACTATAAATGTCACTATAAATAGATAACTAATTAATTCTAAAAATTGTATCCGGATAATAACACTACAAAATAAAATATTTAAGTTTAACAAAATAATCCCATAAGACTTAATACTAAAACGTCCTCACAAATCTGACAGCGTGTCACGTGACTAAATAGAGGGGAGACCCACGGAGCGAATAAAGTAGAGGTTTGACGCTTGGGAGACCCACTCTGACGTCACAAGATGGCCGCTGACAGCTGTCATCCGTGAAGATAGCGTCAATTCTTCTTCGCCTGTTATCCCTCAAACGTGAACGATGCGTCAATTCTTTTCGTCTGTCATCCCTCAAACGTGAACATAGCATCAATTCTTCTTTTCGTCTTTCAAGCTTACGTAACCTCATACTCCACGCCACGACGTGTACGTTAACACAAAAAAACAAAGATGGCGGCATTGCCAAAAGAACAAGCTTGAAACGTCCAAACAACTCAACGTATAACAACGTGCAAGGTATCGATGGAAAGGGGAGGTGATAACGAATATGTTAAGATAAAAATATAACGCAAAGACATTGCCACATCGGCGCTAAACTGTTCAACGTACAACAACGTGTGAGGTATCGATGGAAAGGGGAGGGGGTAACGAATATTTTAAGATAAAAATAAAACGCAAAGACATTGCCACTTCGGTGCTAAACGGCTCAATGTGTAACAAATCTGACAATTCTCTGCTAGCTACTGGCATGCCCGTAACGGTAGCGCGCGTTCACACATGCCAGTGACACCCCCTACGCACGCGCCTTGCATCTCACAGCATACTACTAGCAAGAAACATCAAATTCTTTGCGATTAGCTAGCATGCCAGTTTGGGGACAGTAGCTGGTGCTTGCTAGGTACTGGTATGTCATTGTGCTAGTAACAGGCCTGTGTATCTCCGGCTAAACACAGGCTGACATGACGTGTGGTGTTTTGAATTTAATAAGGGTCCTTAACTAATACGGGAACATTGATTCTGAATGTTTTTTATTTGTCCCCTCATTTTAAGATTTTTCACAAAATAAAACAAAAACCTTTTGAGATATTTTGTACTAGAGCAAAGAAGTACTTTATTGGCATATTTCACATCATGGCGGTTATTTATTGATACTGCTGAAGTCTGACGTGTGTCATGTTGCATAATATTAATACTTATAACTCGGTGCCTGTATTCCGTGCACATTAAAGAAACTTATGAGAATCTATTGCATCAGCCAATGAAAAATAAGCTCTCGGTTTATTTCTCATTGGCTGAACCATAAAACCGTTTTCTGGATATCATACTGTACCTGTAAAAAACGTAATTATTTTCTAACACGAGTACTAACGATTACATCATTTACTGCACGAGTAGCGGAGTGTTACGTAACCATTTAATTGTATGTATTTTTTAAATCAACTATTTTTAGCTGTTTGGACCGCTGATGCCCGGAATAACGTCGCAGTTATAGAGATAGGAAGAATATTAAAGGAAAGGCTTCATATACCTCCCAGGGTTACATTGGGTTACCAGTTACATACAGATACGATTCAGAAGACTGGATCCGTTTCAAAATATTCATATACTGTATAATACTGCAGGGAATTTTAGATATCACGGATAAGCAATAGAAAATTCAGATGCAACTAATTTAATGTCATACTTTTATTGTTGTACATTTAACGTTTCTAAACTTTTATATCCACAACATTTCATATTCTTGATTCAAAGGTGATGTGATGAATGTTAAGTTTATTATTGCATGTATTTGACTTAATAATGGTAACACATTGATTGTTGTTACAAAGATAGGAGCTTCAAAAGTACATAGTTTCAGTATTTAATTTTTTTGTCATAAAAAACAGCGTCTTAACATTTATATCACTTTTGTTTTCTTTTGCTGGTCAATCCATGTGAATTTGCTATTACTCACGTTGCATCTGGACATTTTTTTGAAAATCTGTGTTGTCAACTTAATTAAACAGTTAATATTAACATTCATAGTTAATTTGAAATTGTATCTTTTAGTACTCAATAATAATATTTAGTTTGAGCGTTTTTTATTGTTACAGAAATTTAGAATTCTTTTGGTATGAATGAAATTCTACATATTTGTTTAGGTTATTTTGTTTATTTTTTTTTTAACTAGCAAAAAGGTACATATTTATGCTTATCTGTATTTATATGAATAAAACCGATAAACTTGAATGGTATTTTCAATCAGTCTGCTTCTATTGCAAAGACTTAAAAAGACAGAGAGACATGGAGAGAGAGAGAGAAGTTCAATAATATTGTCAACCTGCTACAGTTGGTGCTAAATCTCATGAATATAAGTAATACACATGCCCGAAAAAGTGGATCCTAAAAACATTGACTATTGAGTTAATTGCGCGACAGGGTCGGACCTGTACGTAGTATAAAGTACAGCTCACATGAACTGCAAAATTTTACATTCGAATTCTGCATTAGGTAAGATGCTGACGGATTCAGTAATAAGTACGTAAGAAAATACTATTAAACATACATTCTAAATATAATAAACTCTATAACGAGAACTGAAATGACAGACTAATTACCTCGTTATATCAGATAACAATAATACTGTGCATACATATGAATATGTAGTTTTCTAAAACTAACTTCCTATGGTGAAGCCATTTGGAGCAATATAAAATGCTAAATATTGTTTAAATGGCGTTTTTAAAAAAAAGTTGTTTACTTTTATTGCCAATGAAATACATTAAAACAAAAAAGAGTTGTTTACTATTATTGTCAATGATATACGTTAAAACAAAAAATCTGTACTTACATTTTTTTTTTTCGACTACTTGATGTATAAAGCGTATTTTCAAGAATAAAATAAACTATTGCTTCTGCAATTGGAAGAAGTTTGTCTTCTTAACTATTTTAAATTGTCCAGTATCATTACATCTAGATGTGAAATAGTTGTATGCTTCTTCATTTGCATTTTGTCTTTGGGTAAAGTCTGTTATAACGTTTTAAGCAGTGTTCTGAAGCTATTTTCTTGTGGCATTTCAAAGTAATTACTATTTAAATGGGAATAAGCTACAATTAAAGGTTAAAGTACGTTTATTGACGTTTCAATTTCCACTTCGGAAATCGTTCTCAAAATACTATTTAGTTTTCACACCTTCGTCGTCAATTTTACGAAGCTCCGGTATCTACGATAGTTTTATTTTTTTTGGCTATTTCCATCGTCTTCGAATAAATTTCATAGTAAGTTAGCTCATTATTTTATTTTGTATTAAATATAAATTTTGGAATTTACTATTTTATTTGGGAATACAGCAAACATTTTAGTTTGAAATTAATTTATTTGACGTTTCGACTTCCACTTTGGAAATCGTTTTTTGTAATCGGTATTTTGATAACAATTTCCGAAGTGAAAGTAGAAACGTCAAATAAAGTAATTTCAAACTAACATTATGACTTTATTCCCAAATAAAATAGTAAATTGCATTAGATGCCCCAAGGAAATAGCTTCAGAACAATATATTTTGGATTTCAGTAAAATGAATTCCAGAAGGCCACTGACAGAAAAAGAACTGGAAGAGGCTGCGCGGATTATGAATGGTGAAGAATTTGACTAGGATCCCTTCGAAGACAGTGGCAGCGACTCGGAAGAAGAAAATCAGGAGATAGAATCTTCACAATCGGATAATAAAACTGTCGAAGATTTGATTGTATCTCCTTGTTCTAATGAACCGACAGAGCAAAATGCCATTTCGGATATTGGAAAAGTTTCTACGTCCATATCTGGAAAATCGTAGTATGTAGTGGTCCCAACAAAAAAGTTTGAAGGGTAAGAATGGTCATGAGTGGTTGACCGAAGTTCTCCATAATTCAAGGATTGCTGCAAGGAATCTTATTCACTTCGTATCAGGTCCCAGAGGTACCGCTAAAAACTGTAATACTTTTAATGAACACTTCTTACATTTCTTTCCAAACACTCTACTTGAAATTATTTTGCAACATACAAATGCAGAAATTGTAAGATAAGCTGAAAAACATAATAATTATGAAAATGTGTCTCAAATATCAATTGAAGAATTAAGAGCTTTACTTGCAATTCTTGTCCTTTCTGTCGTAAAAAAGATAACCATTTATCTGCCAAATCTATTTTTAACATCTCCATTTCAGGACGTTTTACAGAGCCTGTATGAGTTGTAATCGCTTTACATTTCTACTAAATTGTATAAGATTTGACGAAAAGCAGACAAGGCAAGACAGACAAGTAAATGATCCTTTCACTCATATCCGCGAAATATGGGATATTTTCATTGAAATATGCCGCACTTTATATACTCCATCATCATATCTTACAATTGATGAGCAACTGCTTGAATTCCGGGGAAAATGCCGTTTCAGAATGTACATTCCCAATAAACCTTCAAAGTACGGAAAACTCGTTGACTGCGCATGACTCGGATCCGAGTCGGCAGCGCTGTGCGCTTGATGCTCATGACTCAGATCCGAGTCAGAAGCATAGCGAAATTGAAATCATTATTACTCTGTTAGCCTTTGAGTAAAGTTGTCGATTTTTTGTGAGCGCGTGGGTGAAATAGTGTATATTCGAAAAGTGCCGTTCGTTTTCATGTGACAGTAGTGTATCAAGGATATTTGTAACAGATATGGAGCATGATGAACCTGGACCTTCAGGCATTAAAAAAATGAAATTGCAGAGATGCGAACGGGAAAAACTAACACAGGACGAGTTATTTAGTATACTAAACAACTCATTTAGCGACGATGTGTTTGATGTGAGTGACGATGATTCCGAATCTTCTTCTGACAATAATTATTCCGGTAAGTAAATTATATTTCTTTTCATTAATCTTAGATAATAAGGGATAATTTATTGTTGTATAGACGATGACATATTTGATGAAATGGCTGGCATTATGGACCGAGACCAAGACAATGACGCACCTGAAGAAGAGGATGTCAGAAACCGAGCTGCAACTTGGAAAGATGATGTTTCTAAAATGCGAAGTTTGCCATTTACAAAACGTGCTGGCTTATTAATTGATCCTCCATTGAATGCGAAGCCGATAAACTATTTCAGACTAGTAGCTGATGATAATTTTTTAAACATGGTGGTAAATCAAACAAATTTGTATGCTGAACAAACTTTTTTATCTGAAGTTGGTGGTAAGGAAAATTCAAGAATTTCTAGGTGGAAACCGCTTTCTTTACAAGAATTTTTAGTGTTTTTAGGCTTAGTTTTTCATACAGGCACTATCCGTATTTCAAAATTGGAGGATTATTGGAAAAAAGATCCATTGTTTAATATAAAATGTTTCTCACAGAACATGGGCAGAGATCGATTTCTTCTGATTTTGAGGTGTTTACACTTCGCCCCTAATCCCGTGAGACCTAATAAAGTTCCTACAGATCGGTTATATAAAATAAGGCCGGTCATAGACTTTTTCAACAATAAAATGGCTAGTTTATATTATCCAGGGAAAGATTTATCGTTAGATGAATCTATGGTTCCATGGAAAGGTCGACTTAATTTCAAGCAGTACATTAAGCAAAAACGTCATAAATTTGGAATTAAGCTGTATATGATCACTGAACCTACGGGTATTGTTCAAAGTGTATTGGTATATGCAGGGGCTTCAGATAAGATCATAGGAGGGAAGGGCCATGCTACCAAGGTAGTTCTCGAAATTGCCAATAGATTCTTGGATTCCGGGCATGCCCTCTATATGGACAACTTTTATAACAGTTATTTATTGGCTAAACATCTTTTAAGAAGGCGTACTTTTTGCACAGGTACATTACGCGCAGGTAGATCAGGAAATCCCCTAGAGGTTATCAATGCTAAATTGAGAAAAGGGGAAACTAAAGCACAGTACTGCGATGGGATAATGATTGGTAAATGGCATGATAAAAGAGATGTCTTGTATATATCTAGTGAGTTTCCAAATACTCTTACGGAACATACTACGAATAGAGGATGGGAAGTTGTCAAGCCATTACCAATATTAAAATATAACAAATATATGGCTGGTATAGATAGGCAGGATCAGATGTTGTCGTATTACCCATGCTCCCGAAAAACGCTACGCTGGTATAAGAAACTAGGTCTCCATTTTTTCCAGATAATGCTACTGAATGCCTTTTTGTTGAACAATAAATACTCTGAAAAAAAACTCCGTTTTTCAGATTTCAGACTTGAAGTAATTCGTGAATTACTACCTAAAACAAATAAAGATGTACGACTCAATCCCACTACTGAACATATACCTACCATCATTATTATGAAATCTGAAAAAGGTGAAACAAAGAGAAAAAGATGCAGAGTATGTTCTTTGTCCAAAATTCGGAAAAACACAATATATGAGTGTGCTGATTGTGAAGGGAAACCCGGTCTCTGCCTAGGTGATTGTTTTAGAGAATATCATCAATCTAATAAATAGTTTGTTTCTCCAGTTATCTTAATTTAATTTTAAACATATTTTTTTTGTGATTTTTATTATGTATGCAATATTTATGTGTTTTGTTTATTTAGTTTTTAACGATGTTTCTCCAGCTTCTTGTATTTTTGTAAATACAAAAAATATAAGAAAAATACATTTTATTAAAATAAATTTTTCATATATTTTTTAAATATATTGTATTTAACTGATAGATAAGTTCCTACAGTAACAGATATTTCAATCTAACTTATACAGGTGTTATTCAATATTTGCCTAATTTTTTCTTTAAGTAATCGGATATGTTTTATACAGTTTCATCCTGAGCATCCATACATATTATTTTGGTGATTTTTCTGTTTTAAAATGTGCAACTGTTTGCAAACGTTTTCTGGTTAAGATTAAAATGTTCAGCGGATTAAAATTTTCTGAATAAATTAAAATTTTATTGTTATAAGGTTTGAATGAAATATTTGGTTTATTAGATTTTCGTAGAATAATTAGAATATCTGTTTAAAAATATACATTTTAATATTATAAGTGCCTTTAATTTTACCTACCTGTAATCCTTCTAACAATTACTAATATTCAAATTAACATTTTTGAATATCTTCTTAATTGCCAAGGGTGGTCGATTTAAATCACTCAATTCGTTATCAGGCATACAATCTATCTAAGCTGTTTACCTGTTTTTACTTTCTAAATTTCAGTGAACTGCACAGGTAATAAAACTAATTGAAAAAAACCTTTCTATCATGGTTAT